AAAAACAGTTTATGATCCAAAACTGGAAAAAATCTAAATCTAGAAAAGTCAGTTTTTCTTAAAATAAGTGCATTTGTTCTTAAATTGAGGAGATTAAAGAGACATTTTGCCAAAGGAACAAGACAATTTAGATTTAAAATAAGAAAACACATTTGCATTGTCTTATTTCAAGTGCATTTTATCTAATTATCTTATTTTAAGGGTAAAAATACTCATTCCATTGGCAAATTATCAAATTTACCCATTCAAATCAAGGGTAAATACACTTAATTTGAGAAATTTTTACTTATTTCTAGATCGTTTTTGCAGTGAATATGAGCCTGAGTGAGTCGGCGCTGCAGGAATTGCTGCCAATAGGAAGCCGAATCAACTTACACCTCCTTTAAAAGGTTTTTGCTTTAAACCTAAATCTAAACGACAGGAAACAAGAGGTCTGTGAGTGAAAGATCTACAGATCTGCATCAGTTTCTGGATTATCTTCTGTTTTTAGCAGCAACTTCCTGCAAACCAGGCAGCTTTACTGGTTCCCATTTGCATAAACACTTCCAGCTTAAACACGAGCAGAATTTGAAAAGAGCTTCCAAAACTTCCAGCACTTTCCGCTCGTCTCAGACGGGATGGATGGATGGTTTTCATTACTTCCTCGCACTTTTCCCCCCCTCCCTCCGCACTGGAAGCGAGCCTAGCCTCCATCAGCATCACCGTCTGAAGCCAAAGAGCCGTCTTTACCCTGGGAACCCCCCCCCCCACAGCTTTAGTGATACTTTTTAACACACATACAACAAGAACCTGCTGATCCCCCCCCCATTAATCCAAATCACTGTCAGAGTTCAGAGCACATAGTTACCCGTGATGCACTGCCCACTGGACTGCTCGTCTCCGTAGCGTTTGTGCGAAGGTGCATACAGGAACATGATGGCGAAGACGTACAGGTTCCACATCCCATAGATTCCAGTGCAGAAGGCGCTGTTTATCTGCACCGTGTAATCCCCCCAGTGCCAGTGACCCTCGTTCACCTGGAAACAAACCAGGAACACTTTCAATGACGTTCTATGAAGATAAAAATGCTATTCTGTTTTTTTTTTTAAAAGACTGTAAAGTTCACCTGCACTCCTGATTAGGGATGCAGGATATTGGGATTTTGGCCGATATCCGATATTTNTATATCTATGCATATGTAAAAACTAAATCCAAATAAAGTGATAAATCCAAGTAAAGTGTTGCATGGCGTGCAAAAATAGTCTGTAAATATGCTCCATTCAGAGCTCCTCAAAGGGCATTGTTTTAACTTCAACTGGTGTAAATTCTTTATAAAAGCTTATAAAACCATCTATTGCTTTCCATTTATAAATTATTTCATAAAAAAAAATAATCTTCATTAGTTAATTATCAAAACATGCATTAGTTGCAGCTCTAATATATATATTTATACACAGGGTTATCCATGTGCCCCTCTCTACTTCAAAAATGCTAAATATAAATAAAATAAACAAGTTGAATTTGCTGGATTTGGGAGCGGAAGCAGGTCAGGAGGAGGGGAACCCAGAAGCTTCATGAATACCGGGCTTTGTAAACGAGCAGTCAGAAAGTTAGCAGAGAAAATGACCAAGGTTTGCCCAGGCCGCCACTTTTTCTCCCCACATGGTTTACTGAGGCAACCTGCCAGTTTTTTATACACTCAGTCTACACACGCTTACACCTACTGTGTGCATGAAGACTTTGGATGTGGATTCAATATTTTAAGTGTATGTGAGCTTGGGGCATGAAGGGGTTTTTTCCCCCTCAACATGCGTGAATATTTTCACACACAGAGGACCGACACAGCAATATCTCTAGATACCTTGAGGGAAATAGCTGTGGCAGACATATTACGTAGGTTCTTTGGCATTTCTGTGTGTGAAACTAAGACGTCTGTGTTCTGTGTATGGGTCACTGATGTTCAGTCATTTCCTCAGCCCCTAAGCCAGCCACACGCATAAATACTCCCCCACCACCACCCATTTTCCACTCTGTGCTCCTACTCTTTTGTGCTGTGTCAAACAAGACCCACTTCAAGCCCCTTGGTTTATTTTAGCTACACCTTTTTTTTTTATATATATATTTATTTAAACGACCTAACCCTAAAATGACACCCTGTCACGTGACATCATTGATCTTCAAAGGGAATTTTCAAAATGGTTCTGGTCAACATTATTTAGAGGTGTGGTACACCAACCATCATCAGCCTATAAAGGTCACACTTGCTTAATGTTGCTTCATGTTGAACATTGCTGCATTCATAAACCACTTTCCTGATACGGCATGAGCTCCGTCTGTAAACAAGCGGGGTTGAGGCAGCTTTTCTAGCCGCTCTAGAATCACAAGAGGTAAAATAAAATAAATTTCTGCGCTTAGCGTAACATAATCCATCTACTGTATGCAACACAGAGACCTGCTTCTTTCTATCCCATCAGTGCCTCCAATGGTAAGGTGTATGTGGCCCAAGTGAAGGAAAGAGCTGCAGCCAGGAAAATTTACGACGCCGCTAAGAAGCAAGGAAAATCAGCCGGATTGGTCGCTACCAAGTTAGTTTGTTTGTTTTTCTTTTTAAGGACTGAAAAAATGTACCATCTTTAGCTTAGAGAGCTTCTCCAAACTGCCTGACCTTTGACCTGCCCTGTACGTTTTATAATTGCAGAGAAAGGGAAACTGAGAAGTTTCGCGTAGCGGTGAGCGTGCCGCCTGGAACTCGGGTGAATTTCCTCCTGACCTACGAGGAGCTGTTGCCTCGTCGACTCGGCCGCTACGAGCTCAGCTTAGGTCTGAGACCGGGGCAAGCCGTGCAGAACCTCACGTTAGACATCAGCATCCACGAGAGGACGGGCATCAGCTTCGTCCGAGTTTTACCTCTAAAGACCAGCCGACTGCTGTCAAACACAGCCCAGGGTGAGTTGGCAGCAAATATAACTAGGAGGTCCATTTATAAAAGACTTTGCTTCAGGTTAACTGTCTTTAAAGGAATGAAAAGCAAAGTTCTTAACATTTCAGACATATCAAAAGAAAAAAACTTTATTAATGCCCTGGTTTACATAAAGAAAAATCACATTGCAATAAATGAATAAATACATCCAACAGGTTTGGTTCTGTTAAAGGAATGCTCTGTGTCGACACCTTGGAGCTTTCTCACTCCGGTTCTTTTCCTGAAAAGAAATCACTCAGGGCAAACTCTTTAAATACCACTTCATAACGTATATGTATTGAAAAACCAGGAGATATGACAACAGATTTTGATATAAATTGTAATCTTACTCAGATCAGAGAAGTTGTTTAGAGTTACAGAAGGCAGCTGCTCACCAACCAGGCTAACTGCTTGGGAAGTGGCCCCGATTAACAGTTAAAAAGGCATTTTATACAACTCCATTCGGCCACATCATCACATCATTACATCACACACGTTTGCAGATGAGGAGACAGCCATGGCTCCAGCCATATCCCAATATTACATTTTGTTCTTAGCAGAAGGACACCGCTCTCATTCCATTCTCAAATCTTTGCCACGGACAAAATTATTAAGATTATAACTGTATATCCAGACAGAGGAACTGGCCTAATTAGATAAACTACTGGGGAATATATGAGTTCTGAAACACAACAGGCAGCTAATATTAAGGTGTGATAAACTCATACATCCTCAGTGATAATTATCCTAACAGTTCCTTTGCTTTGGAGCATACGGATGTCATAATATTGGATTTATGGACAGAAATTAAGCCTGCTTAATGACATGTTGAATTTATCAATCATTGAAAGTTAACTAGTTCCACTAAACTTTGTAAATTTAATGCAAAGAACAATATATATTTATTTTTGACACAACGATGAACACAAACGAATTAGGATCATTAAGTCAAGCATCATAGCTTTCAGTTTGCAGAAGTTAAGAGATGCTAATAAGGGTTAATTATGCTTCTTTAGTTTGGTTTAATATTAGTAAATTGCATGAATGTTATTTGAGCTCATTGATACTAATCATGCTAACCAACTCAACTTCATTTTAAAATCAAATTTAAGTTAATTAAACATGAAAATTTAAAGACAGCACTGTATATACGTAGGACACTTCCTCCTCCACAGAGGATCTAGATCATGCCGCAAAGCATCTTGGGAAATAACAGGAAGTCAGACAATATCAGTTTGGCTGAATACCTATTATGTTTATATTTTAAGTGCTTTATATGTTGTAACTTTTATGCTGCTGTCGCCTTGGGCTAGTCTCTCACAGTGGGACTAACTCGGTTATTTAATGTAATGGTTTTGGTGCTGTTAAAGTTTTCTTTCTGATTTTTCATTGATTTCATTTCCATTTTGTGTATTTTCTGGTTGTATTTGAGTTTTTATGTATTTCTTGTTTACCCTCTGTTGCCCCCTTGTTTCAGTCTCCTTCCATTAGCTATTTTCTAGATTCTTCCATCCACACCTGCTCCTCATCTGCTGATTAGCCCAGTTTTTGTTCACTCTCCCGTTCATAACCCCTTTATGCAGTTTCTCATTGCTGGTTTCTCGTCGTTCCTTGTTCCTTATGTGTTTCCCTCACATCTCCTGTTTTTTGGTTTTGCTGTATTTTGGATTTTATAGAGATTATAACTTTTTTCCTGAAGCAAAAAGGGTTTTCTGCTTCAACAACACTTACTTCTGATGAAATATTTTCCTTCATGCTTATCCCTGTTGGGGTTGCGAGGGATGCTGGTGCTCCAGCTCTCAATGTGCGAGAGGTCGCCGGTCCATCGCAGAGCAACACAGAAACACACAATCTGTCTAACCACACTCACACCTAAGGAGAATTTAGTGAAGCCAACTGACCCAACAGTCATGTTTTTGGGAGGAAACCCACACATGCTCAGGGAGAACATGCTAACTCCATGCAGAAAGACCCTGGGCCGGGAATCAAACCCAGAACCTTCTTGCTGCAAGGCAGCAGTGCTACCCACTGCACCACTAAGTAGATAGGGATGAAATATATCATTAAAAATAAAAGCAAAAACTATAATTAATGGAGTAGACATTAGGCTTGTCCCGATCCGATCCACGTATCGGATCGGGACGCCGATATTGGCAAAAAAATGCGTATCGGCAAAGCATGTAAAATGCCGATCTAGACTGCCGATCCAGTTTTTAAAAAAAAATCCGGTCCGTATTTTCCAGTTTCGCCGATTGAAACGATCCATTCCACTATTTTGCGCCAGTGTTCCCCTGTTTTGCATTTTTATTAAAACTTACAGTAATACTTGCACCTTTAACTGTTTACGGTTTTACTGTTCACTGTGCAATTTCAAATTGCTATTCATAATTTTGTCCAGTTTGTGTTTATCTCTTAATAAACAGGTAAGTTTGTTGTTACCAAGCATTGTGTTTTATTCAATCTCACCTAATTTAGCTGGCTAGATGTTATCAAGAGTACTAAAACCCTTTTCAACATCAGTCTTACAACTAAGGCTAAATACTTTAACTTAAATACATGCTCGGATAGGCTGGTATCGGCCAGTATCTGTATCGGATCGGAAGTCCAAAAACAATATCGGTATCGGATCGGAAGTGCAAAAACCTGGATCGGAAGTGCAAAAACCTGGATCGGGACATCTCTAGTAGACATGTCTGTTCTCTTTAACAATGTAGGTATTTAGGGTTTAACAGGCCTTATTATCAATGATGATTCTTACTAATAAATCATTAAATTTTTTTGCTTTTGTAATTTTTCTGTAGGTTCATTACTTCAGCAAAGGGAAACTTTTTTCCTGACCCACATTTTGTTGTTAATAAAATAAACAAAATTAGACCAACATAAAGAGTTTTATATCAGTGCTGATAATTTGTTAGTTTTCCTTCTATTGCTCACTGATTAATGCAGATAAATTATCTATCAATAATTATATTATGTGCATATAACTAAATATTGATAGTATACCAATATAATCTATGGTATTGAATAATTTAATTAGGCTAATCAAACTGCTTTCCCACAGGTGACCCAGCCTCCCCTCCCTTCACTCGGGTCGAGCAGAGCGATCGCTGTGCTAGGATTCACTACAGCCCAACTTTACAGCAGCAAAACAGTGGATCCTCCAAGGGCTTAAACGCAGACTTCATTGTTCAGTATGACGTGGATCTCACAGACCCAATGGGCGACGTTCAGGTCCGCAGGATCTTTCCTCTCCTGGCTTTTCAATGTCACCCAAATCTCACTGAATCACTAACATTTCACCTCTGTTAGGTGTATGATGGCTACTTTGTGCATTACTTTGCACCAAGGGGGCTTCCAGTGGTTCCCAAGGACATTATATTTGTCATTGACATCAGTGGCTCTATGATAGGCACCAAGATAAAGCAGGTAAAGAGGAGAGCACATTTGGAAAGATCTACAATGGTCTAACTTGCTAAAGTTTCCTAGTTTCTTTTGTTTCAGATAACAATTATTCAATAACACTATTGGTTTTCTGTCAGTAGACAAAGCAGGCAATGAATACCATCCTTGGAGACCTTAGAGAAGGAGACCACTTTAACATCATAACCTTCTCAGACAAGGTTCACACCTGGAAGAAAGGCCGAACAGTGCGAGCAACTCGGCAGAACGTACGAGAGGCCAAGGAGTTTGTGAGGAGAATTATCGCAGAAGGATGTGAGTCAATATCAGATCTTTTGCGATGAATGTTCTTTTGCTTTGTAAAACTGACTGTCTATTTTGTCCACGGTGTCATATTAGGGACCAACATCAACGCGGCTCTGCTGTCAGCAGCCCAGCTTGTTAACCCTTCATCCTCTGCGTCGTCTAGCCGTCTTGCTTCCCAGCGGGTCCCGCTGGTTATCTTTCTGACAGACGGTGAAGCAACCACGGGGGTAACGTCCGGTGATACCATCCTTAACAACGCCAAGAAGGCATTGGGCTCAGCTACTCTGTTTGGCATTGCCTTCGGCGATGACGCTGACTTCCTTCTTCTTAAACGCCTGGCTCTGGAAAACCGAGGTGTGGCCAGGATGGTGTATGAGGAAGCAGACGCAGCTTTGCAGCTCAAGGGTTTCTACGATGAAGTGGCCAGTCCTTTACTATCCGATGTCCAGCTTTCCTACATGGACGATCAAGCGTTTGATGTCACCCGCTCCCTGTTCCCAAACTACTTCCAAGGTTCGGAGTTAGTCGTGGCGGGGAAGGTCAAACCTGGAGTAAAAGACTTTAAAGTTTCAGTCACAGCAACTGATTCAAAGCAGAACATAAACCTAGAGGATAACGTGCTTGTTTCCAGTACAAAGGAAAACGGAAGTACTGTTTTTTTAAGTTGTTCTGAAGAGTTGAAAGGGGTGTCTAATTTTGTGAGTCGTCTCTGGGCATATTTCACCATCAAAGAGCTGCTGCTGGCCAAACTCAATACAACTGACCCTGTAGCCCAACGCTTACTGGCAGACAAAGCCGTTAATCTCTCCCTTAAATATAACTTTGTTACCCCAGTCACTTCTTTGGTCGTTGTCAAACCAGATGTAGATGAAGCAGCTCAGGCTCTGACCACTATGAAACCTGCAACTACTGACACTACCGCCACCACAGCAGCAACAACAGTGGTCCCCATCAAAACATTTTCTGCTAGAGCTCTTAAAAAGCCCAGCCTACCCACTGACCACAGGGCTAAGGTATCCAAACCAGATCCACCTCAACCACCTCCATATAAACAGAAAAGTAAAACAAAGTCTTTGCCCACAGCTTTTGGTAAAACTGCAGTTTCACCGACCAAAAAAACAACTATCAACACAACTCCCAGTCCTTACAAAACCGCCCCAGTGCCCCTCTCCATAAAAAAGCTTGATGCGTCCCAGAATAACACTAAAACACCCATTATGCCTTCTTTGTCTGCAAAGATACCCGCCTCGCTTCTACATGCTATAAAAACAGCACAGCCTCCTGCACCTGGAAAAACATCCACACCGATGCCCAATGCCATGAAAATAACCACCATTTCAACAACACCAGTTATGCAGACATTTGACACCAGCACTTCACCTCACTTCAGTTCATCCAAAACTGGCCCTGCACCTCCGACAAGAAGAATCTCCCCCCAGGAGCCTAGCAGTAGGAAGACAGTCGTCCCTTCTCTCAGAGAGACAGGGCCATCCTTGGAGGTGGAGAACCAAAGCAGATCAACCTCAGAACTTCATCAGTCTCAAACCACTCCAGCAATTCCACTAATCCCTCCCACCCCAGCCTCTGCCTTAGTGGTGCGACACAACAGTTCAGATGTGGATGTTGACACTGATCTGGGCATTGCCACCTTGGTTTTGGGTACTTTTGCTCCCATGCCCGGCGTTACCAATGGACCTGGACTGTGGGAAGCAAATGGCTTTCTGGGTAAGTAACACATTAGATGTGTTTCTGTCAGCACTTTTCTTGTGTGGATTTTTGAATTTGTGGCATTTGAAGAGCTTGATGGGAAAAGCAAAATTTGAAACCACTTACAGCAATTCACAAAACCTTTTCAAAATACAAACTCTGCTAAAGAGGATATGGAAACTAGCCTCGTGAGACCATCCTGATCTCGCGAGCTTTCAAG